CAAACCAATTCCTGAGCGGATAGTGTATAAACGCTAGCGTAAATATAAAATGCATACATACGCTAAACTCATATATACCAACATAGGTGCGATGCGACTGGTGCAGAAGCGTTCGGGGCAAAAGCAGTCTAGCGCCGCGGCTAGTACACTGCGCCCGTAATCGAGAGGTCGAGCCCTGTAGTTGCTGAAGGGGATGCGCACGACGATCATGTGCACTTCACTAGTTGCAGCAGCCTGCTTGCACATGCGTTCGCTAGTATGGAGAGGGGCAGGGTGGAGCCGCAGCAGGACTAGATAAGCACTGTTCAAATGTGCAAATGACCGAACTGAACTTGTGCAGTTATTTGCAATAACAAACCGGACCGGTTTGCTAACGAACCAGTTTCAGACCTTGTCCAGCAACACAGCCCCCTTGAGTACTGGTGTGCAAAGGCACGCACGCTAGTACTCAAGGAAATCGTGACCACCTGGCTAATCCTGCCAACGAAAGTGTGTACTTGATGAACAAGAACCTGATTACTTAGCAGTGCCATCGACTTAGCACAGATCATGCTCGTTTTTCATGACACATCCGAGTGTTTTCCTGGTGGAGGCGTCTTGGGGTTTGGGCACTACCAATGCATTTGCTGCGAAGCTCGGCGTGGAGGGGGAGGGGCCTGAGGGTTTGTAGGCCATACTCGCTTTGACTTATTATTTGACTGACCACTATGGTGACTGTTTATTTCTTTCTGTACCCAGATTCCGTACCTCTCAGAATATTGAAATTACCTATCATGAATGGTGCTAATATGTTGCTAGTTTTGCAGCCTAATGACTGCTTCTGTCAGAATATTATGTTAATCTAGTTTGCAGTGGGGTACTCAATAGTGAGTATAACCTTTTTATGGCTTGCTATTTGTACCCTTCCTGCTTGCTAGTGCACCATCTTTCTTTGGCCAAACAGTCTCGACTCTTGCCTCAACCCTAAAACCTAGCTCCTTGTTACTAAGGCTATGGCTCCTAAGCCTACTGCTCTCTAGCTTGTTTCAACAGCTTCAACAAAAAAAAAATCACACAATGTTTATGCACAACAACCGTTGTTGCTAGAAGCTTTGCGAAACATCCCAATTTGTGCATACAGTCTGGCCCAACTCGGGCCAAACCAGGTTCGGGCAGGTACTGTTAGGCATGAGCAGGAGGCCCGTGCGGGTCGGGCCGGCCCAACCCAACCCGTGATTTTGCCCGAGTCAAGGGTTTCAACAGCCTGCCCCGGGCAGGTCGGCCCGACCCGGCCCAGCCTAATACTCGACCCGAGCAGGGAACTCGGGCCGGGTCGAGTCGGGCTTTTGAGTTGTGCCAACCCGACCCGTATTCGAGTCACGAACTGGGAATTCGGGTCGGGTCAGGCTCGACCCAGTTTCGACCCTAGCGAAAAGCTTAACATCAGTCCAGCAGAACCTACCTAACTTCACCTCCACATCCTAGGGTTTGGACTAAGCTCAATGACGTGAGCTATGAAATTGCATTGGGGGGTTGGGTTGTGTAGGTCCAGTGCAAATCGGTTGGAATTTTGTATTTCAACAAATTTAACGGGGGGGAAGGGGTTCCTTGCTTCCTCACAGCAAAAATTGGTTGACCAGAAAAATCGCCGATCTGTGCGGATCGGCAGGCGAAATCGCCGATTTGCGCAGATGGGCGGGCGAATCGCCGGTTTGCAAGGTGCAAAATTTCGGCAAAAGTAAAATACGGTCCGCTTTTTACGCTCGTTTTTTACGGCCAGATTTTAAAAATTCGGCCGTTTTTTTGTTAGAGATTTTGTGACTTTTTTTTTTGTACAGTAGACTCGACTCCGCTCCTGACCAGGATAGCAAAGAAGCAATACAACGCTAACAAAGTGTCTAGGTTGCGCTCATTCAACCCTCCTCCTCCCCCCCAGACTCTTCATCCTGTCCTCCCCTGAGTCACTGGTCTCCCACTGATAAATCCCCTTTGTCTTCCTCATGGCTGGTTCATCCAATCGAGGGTCATGGTTGGAACCAACACTTGAAAATATGTGTAAACCAACTGGTTTCAAGATTTCTGCTGTAAAAAACGGCCGTTTTTTTGCACCAGTTTAAAATTTCCACCTTTTGGCGTTTTGAAACGTTTTAAACGGGCGAAAAATACGATAGCGTATTATATGCCAGAATTTCAATCTTTCGGTCGTTTTTTTGCACCTTGCCGGTCTGCGCAGATCGGCGGGCGATAGTGCCGATCTGTGTAGAAGGCGGGCAAAGGCGGGTTTCCCTGACCCGACCCGACCTCGAACCGGCCCGACCCAAGATCGGGTCACCCCTACCCGACCCTGTACCCGCGGGTCGGGTCAGGGTATTCAACACCCTGGCCCGAGGCTGGCCCGGCCCAACCTGGCCGGAAGCCCGCTTGGCCCGGCCAAGTCGGGTAGGGCCGGGTCGGGCCGGGGTAACTGCTCATGCCTAGTGTTGGTGGATGAGAAGCTTGGGGTAAGGTTGTATGAGGAGCTGTGAAGTGTTGTGCACTTTCTTGGGTGAATCGAGTTGGTTGGTTGGATAACAACTCTTGCCATCCGTAAAAGCACGTTACTCGGATTCGTACGACTGTGCAACCACTAAACCAGGGCCTGGATCTTGATTTAATAATGATTATGTTGCATGCATATATGGAACTTTTTTTGTTGTTCAACATTTCTCAGCTACGGAGGGAGGGGGTTTGGGATGGGGTTGGGGGTGGGCGTGGGGGTGGGGGTGGGAAGGAGAGGAGCAAACGTGTGACTTCAATGAAACAAAGCAGCAAGGAGTATACATGGGCAGCGAGGGTAGGGTTTTTACTCTTCTCGTTCGAAATGCTCGTTGGGGGCCGAGTGACGAGCCTGCTTTTTGGCAAAAAAACTCGCCCGAGTCGAGCCGAGTTTTACTCGGCGAGCTTTTTTTACTCGTCTCATGCTCGGCCTGGTTGACGAGCAATTTTGCGTGAGTTATGTGCTCGTCGAGCATAAGAAAACTCGTCGCGTGACTTTTGCCTGGGGTTCAAATTAGCGAAAAATCTGGGTCCAGATCTGAAGCCGGCAAGTGGTCCCAACCACGTCCCACAGCCCTAAAAGTAAATTTGTGGGAATGGCTGGGTACAGATCTGAGAAACACATTTGTACCCAACCACCACAATTTCCACCGCTCGCGAAATTGGCGAGCGGGTCACGTTTTGTTGTGCCCTACCACGAATCACCTGCGATCCGGTCAAGGTGTTCGCGAATTGTTATCGCGAAACAGTTTGACACGAATCACATTTCCTCATCCCAATCCCCCCCCCTCCCCCCTCCCCACATCTCGACAGTCTTAGCTATCGTGCTCAAATTTCTTACCTAGTTCCGTGGACCAGGCAACTTAGTACCTAGCTGATCGCTTAGCCCGTTTTACCTCGGCATCCTAGGAACGTTTCGATTTCGATCAAACCAAAACGAGTCGCGACATTTCACTAAGATACAAATAGAAAATCATGTCGACGAATGCAACCTAGACATGTCTTGTCTTAGGAAATTCACGCAGGGGCTGATTTTGCAGTTACAAGGCACGGGGTGGCGTGGCGAGTCGAGCATTACTTGTGCTCGGACAAGCATGTGCCTAAACTCGTCCGAGGATGTCTAAAAACGACGAGCCACGAGTATCCAAAAACGAGAAAATTGCTCGTCAGAGTTTTGCTCGGCTCGGGGCAAAACTCAGACGAGCAAAACCATGGACAAGCCGAGTTTTGCTCGACTTGTCAGTTTGACCATGTATAGCAAGGAGGAACAAGGAGCACAAATGGGGTGCAAAACGCAGAGGCGGGAGGGAGGAGTGGGCAGCAGTGATGCGCACATGGAATGCAGCACCCAGTTGACAGAACAGCAAGCAGGTGGAGTGGAGCAAACTCAGTGTGCCTCTTACAGGTGTGCAAGTAACTTCAGCGTCGAGAAGCTGTTGGGAACGGTACTGTTGAGAAAGTTGGAGTGGAGATTTCTGTGTGGGGTATAGTGAGTTGGACAACAATGAGACAATCAGCTCGGATCCCAGTCTACAGAGGGTTTGTTGGAGCCTGAAACGTGGAAGGATTGATTAGTTTGAAAGGGCTAGAGCAAGGCAACAGGACGTTTTAGGGGGTTGAGATTGTCTAGCGGAAGAGTTCTGCTGAAGTAAACACGCTGATATAATCAGGGTGCAAAAACATGGACGTTTCGTGGGAAAATGTCCTGCAATAAACGGGGTCGTCTAAAGATTTTTTTGTACTGTTGCAAGTGGTTTCCTTTGTTCGGTTTTAAAAAAGAACGTCGTACTATACGGCCGTTTTTTTCAATCAAGGGGGACCACCAACCCATGGGACCAATTTGATGGTGAAAGTGTGGAGGAAGAGAGACGTGTGACACATTCATCAAAGTTGTACACACATTCGTTGACACTTTATCGCACGTCTCCCTTTGTGGCCACGACTGAAAAGGTATTTGAACCTTTTTTCCATTTAACCGATAAATAATAAAAAAACGGCCGTCTACATAAAATAAAGGACCGTAAAAAATGGATAAGAAATTACCAAAACCACTATTTTATGTTATGGATACAAAGAAGTACAGCAAGTTGGCACAGCAGGGTAGAGGATGACCAAAAAGTTGCAAAGGGATGCAGACAACAGACGGGCGGAGGAGTGGGCATGCGGAGTGCATGGGCAGTGGAGGAGCACCAGCAGTGACGCGCACATGGCATACAGCACGCAGGTGGAGAAAACTCAGTGTGCCGCTTACAGATATTCGAGTGCTATGAGTGTGGATATGCTGTTGGGAATTGAGGCCGTGATACCGGAAGAGGAAACATTTCTGGGTGCGGAAAATCGATTGGGCATAATGAGGGCGCGAGGAGGGGAAAAGGGCAGAACAGCTTTGGATTAAATGGTGGTGAGAAACGCAATCGTTAAGATGATGACGAGAAGGACCCTGGAGCAATGTTAGCGGCTGCAATAGGGAGCAGAACGATAAGGGAAAGAGGGCTGGGAGAGGTGCGGCTGGGAGCTGAGAAAAGCAGCTGCGGCAAGAAGCAGATGGTGCGAGGATGGAAGAATCGTCTATTCCATGATCCACGATACCCTGCATGCGCTCACAATGCCGTAATCATGCCTGAAGCGTCACAAGTGATCCCATGCGCATTGCTGCACTTGGCTCCCGGCGCCCACCCCGTCATTCCCCATGCCGCCTGGGCGTCGAGGAGAAACGCGTCTGACACGTTGGGGAGAAGATGGAGCAAAAGAGAAGACACGGAATTGAATGACAGACTCCCCTCAACTCCGGACCCGTGGCACCGACTGACTATAAGCTGCGAGACGTGCGGGGAAATGGGAGACACTCAGCAGTAGAAAGGAAAGTCCTACCGAGCCGCTTCATCCCTCCCTTCCAATTTCACAACTTGTAAAAGTCTCGACTCGAGACTCCACAGCCTTCATGATACGAGTCACGCGCACCTTGTGAATGCGTGTGGGTGGAAGTGCGGGCGGTACGAGTCACGCGCACCTTGTGAAGGCGTGTGGGTGGGTGTGCGGGCGGTAGTACGAGTCACGAGCACCTTGTGAATTGTTGAATTGTTGCCCGTGGCACGAGACACTGAAGGCGACAAGCCAGAGCGCCAAGGCGAGCGCCGACGAGAGCCGCGTGGCGGGGAGTGCAGGGACGCTGGTAAGCCATGATGCTCGCTCGAGATTCATCGAAGCGGTTTTAGTAGCTAGAGTCGATCGACTTGGCGGCGGTCGGCTCAGCTCGGAACTACAGCTGCTAATACTCGTAACCACACCGAAATTGTACATTTCGGAAAAGGGTTTGGCCCCAAAATGCCAAAAGCGAGGTCTGCCAAAAAGTTGCGCCGCAAGTACTAAGAGTATTACTAAGTTGCCGGCGGGAAAGCACTGGCAAGTATCTCAATGCAATGACGGGGTAGTACATGTAGTAGGCGTGGAGGAGTCAGACTCTGGTATGAGCTGACTTTGCGCGGCGGGGTGCGGATGGTCACACCGACATGGAGGTGGGCGAGAGGCAATCGAAAAACGAAGTTGGGCAAAAAGACGAGGTGCGGAAACGTTGGCAGGGGTGGAGTGGAGAGCAAGGTCAATGACCATGAATGTCCTGAATGGGAAGGTGTTGGAGGAAGGTCCGAAGGGCAAAATCAGGCTCGGAGCGGATGCGGGGACAGCCATTGGCTGGTCACTGCCGGCTCCCTCCTCCGAACCTCCTACCACCGCACCACACCTCCTACAAATATGGAGGCGAAGATAAGGTTGTTTGTTGACCAATGTATGCCGCTGAAATTCCGCGGGAAACTTGGTTTTGCCCCGCCTCGTGCCTTTCCCGTCGCCTAGCGCAGCAGCTGAGGGGAGGAACACGTTCCCCCCCTTCACACGTAAGCTGAATGGGGTGGTCGAATGGGAGAGGTCTGGGAAAGGGTGGAGCGGGAGGTTGGGCAATCGACGATTCGACCTTGCTTGCTGGGCCCCGCTTATGGTACAAGTATTTCTGAACCCCTCCCTATTCAAGCTAAACAAGATACGCCTTCAACAGTCAAAAGCCTTAAAAAATACACTTCTCTACAACACAACAAACTTGCAGAATGAGGGATGGTGCAAATAATTCTCTGAAATGGATGCAGCACGTGCCACGCTTCTCCTATTTCACGATATCATCCTGTTATGACGGTATCACAAACAACTGACAGTTGCACCATCTTTACCTGCCCGTTAGTTTCGCCGGTAACCCATAGGCCAATTATACACCTCGTTAATTCTCCCATCGGCACAAGCAACCCACCGTTTCGCACGGCATCATTATGTTGTGCCACTGCTTCACTGAATGTTCCTGCGGTTATACAGTACTAGTACCATGGGAAGGATCTTCTTGTTGCATGTACCCTACCATGAAGTCGTTTAGGGCCATGTGTACAAATGTTGATGAAGTGATGCATGAAGCCAGAACCATCAACTTCCACACTTCTTGTCCCCTCAACCCCACCTCCACCCTCTGTAACCCCGCTATCCCCTTGTTTCTCCGCTCTCCACCCGTCCCCTACTACCTCTGCCCTCTCTTCCACGAATACTTCTCATCACGCAGCAACCGCACGAGATCCGCGTTGAAAGGCGCAAAAAACCCCTCCAGGTACTCCCGTGTGACCCCATCCAGCTCCTCCCTTGCCATGCCCTCTGGCCGCTGCTCCACGCGCTCCAGGTCGACGATCCCCGCCCACTGCTCCTCCGCCACGTCAGCAGCGGGGAAGCCGAGGAAGTCGAGGGTTTGGGCGATGTGTGGGCGGGGGTTGGCCATGTAGTCCTCGAAGCGCAGGAAGAGGAAGGCCTGTGGGTGGAAGGAGCGGAACCAGTCCTGACGGGAGGGAGAGACAGACAGGGGGATGGGGGTGGATGAGGGGGGCGGGGGTTGGCCATGTAGTCCTCGAACCGGAGGAAGAGGAAGGCCTGTGGGTGGAACGAGCGGAACCAGTCCTGAAGTGGGGGGAAGACAGAGGGGTGGGGATGGAAAAGGGGGACTGGGGTGTGCTGAGAGAGGCTGGCGGTGTGGCTCTGTGTGGGTTGGCCATGTAGTATTCAAAATCGGAGAAAGAGGAAGGGCTGTGGGTGGAAGGAGCGGAACCAGTCCTGAAGGAAGGGAGGTGGAAGAGAGGGGGAAAACGGGTAAGGGGGAATGGAGAGGAGTGGGGGGAGGAGGGTTGAAGAGGGATGGGAGCGAGTGGGTGATAGCAGAGGAACCAATCCTGCATGAGAGAGGAAGGGAACAGGAAGAAGGGGGAAATAAGAGCGGGGTGGGGGAAAAGGGGAGGGGAAATGGGGAGAGGAGAAGGGAAGAGGAGGAATGGAATAGTTCGGATGTGGATTAATTTGATTGCAAAGCTTGAAATGCGGAACGAAGTAGTGTGATGGGGGTGCTGACATGGGGGGATTTAAATAGCAGCTCCAGGTTGACCATTCATACCCTCTCCCCACCCGCTGCTACACTTGCAAGAGAACGAAGAGGGAGGGTGGAGGGAAGCGAGGGGGTAGTTGTGGGAACTGGCTTGCGCGAGGAAGGTGGGGTGGGAGGGACGAAGCTTTGAAAGATTTCCCAGCTTCCCTATCTGCTCCAAGACAAACTTTCCCTGCACTAGTGGTGTGGGTGGACGGAGGAGGAGGAGGGAGAGGCGGGCAGAAGGAAGGGGGAAGGGATTGCGGGTAGGAAGGGGGGCTCAATGCATAACCATGGGCTAGCAGCACACCTGTCGCCTCACAAGACAACACACCTGGATAAAGTAAGCATAGAATGATCCGCACAGGTCTGGCATGTCTCTGAACAGCTTGCGCACACACGCATGTGCGCCCTCCTTTTGAGTCGACTCAAAAGCAGACAAGGCAACACACCTGGATGAAGTAAGCATAGAACGAGCCGCACAGGTCCGGCATGTCTCGGAACAACTTGCGCACACACGCATGCGCACCCTCCTTCTCCACACACGCACTCATGCGTGCTGTGGCATCTCGAGCCTGGGTTGAGACGAGGGAAGGGGAGCAGGGGAACGGGGAGGGGAGGGATGGTGGGGAGGGGAGGTGCAGGCAGGGAAATTGTGTCTGCCTTGGGGTGACTTGGAAACACCTGCAGTCGTTTCTTCTCCACACTTGCTCTCATGCGTGCTGTGGTGTACTGAGACTGGAGAGCGAGGGATGTGATGGAAGGTGAGGAAGGGGACGTGGTGAAGGGAAGGCGGAGGAGGGCTTGTGCCTTGGAGTGTCTGAGAGAGACCATTCTTGCGTCGTGAGCACTATGCACTCAGGTGCTCATGCCCTCAATCCCTCATCCTTGCGTTGTGGGAACTCGTATTGGGACTTTATCGGAAGGTGGGGAAGGGGTGGTGATGACAGGAATAGGAAGGACGGGACTGGGGGAAGAGGGTGAAAAGGGGCATGTTCCTTGCGATGTTTGAGAAATGGCAGTCCTCCACACATGTGCTCATGCACTCATGTGCTTATGAGTTCGCATGCCCATGTGCTCATGTGCAACGTGGCTTCTCGAGAATGTAGGGGTGAAGAATCTTCACTTCAGATGAGCGGGAAATAAACAATGGGCAGAGAGGGACTGTGGAAAGAGAAAAGGCAGGCGAGAAGAGCAGAGAGGCAGCCCCTCTGGGATAGAGGGGGGACAGAGAGAGAGGGTGAGACAGCATTGTGGGTGCTTCAGGAATAGAGAAAGCGAAACAGAATCCATAGTGGGCGTGTGGGGGGAATGGAATGGGGGAAAGGGATTGGGATACAAAAGCGGGCGGAGACAGTGCAATACGATACAGTGCAGTGCAGTTCAGCGCAGGCACTCACATATTTATGAAAGTCCCTGGGGACAGAGGGCGATGGGTTGACAGCAGCAGCGAGGTTGAACTCGGAGAAGAACCGATCAACGGGGTTCCTGAGAATCACAATGAACTTGCTGCGCGGCAGCACCAGGTGCAGCAGCTGCGGCACTGTGTGCCTGTCGTCCACATGGCCTCGCAGCACCACGCCTGAGCTTGTAAGCAGCGTGCTGGACGCCTCGCCTGTCACCCCGCTGCCCCCCGTGTTCACGATGTGCTGTGCCGCCTCGTCGAACAGCGACACGTACCACGCAAAGTCCTTTGCTCCGTTCCGGTCCCACCTAAAAGGGTTGGGGTGGGTTAGGGATGGGGAGGGGAGGGTACGGGGCCTCACACTCTGTCCACTGTACGCTACACGACCTCTTGGAAGACTTGTGCTTTGAGAGAGCCATACTTTTGAGCAGGGGGTGGAGTTGAGGAGGAGGAGGAGAGGTGAATAGGGGAGTGAGGGGAGTGACTGTGTGGGGTTGAGAGTGGCAGTTGTTGCATGGCGGGAGGGGAGAGGAATGAGAGACAGTGGAGCAGGGAAAGGAGGACGAGAGCGGTTAATGTGATTGAGCTGTTGGTGTAAGTATTAAAAAAGGGACGAGCTGCAAAGGCAGACTTGGCACCACAACGGACACGCCTCACACCTATGAGGCAAAAAGTGAAGCAAGCGGGGTGGCGAATGGTGGAGGGGTTATAGTGGATGGTTCAAGAGGGATGACTGAAGAGCAATGTGCTTCATGATTTGTTGACTCAGGGTATACTTCATTACTTTGTTGCTGGGATGGGGTGGCAGGACAAATAGTGCATACTCATGGTGACGGGAGCTACAGGGGGCAGGCAGGGCGTACCACTGGGGGTTGGGGATGGCAGCAGGGAATATGCCGGGGATGATGGAGGATGTGAGCTTGCGGTACAGGTCCTGCGTAGCCGCCCTGTGCGTGACGGAGGGATACGCATGGGGAACAATGTGCGCAACACGGTGGGGAAGAGTTCCTGGTACAGGTCATGGGTAGCGGCACTCAGAGTGTGTGGGTTTACGCACAGTTCAAAGGGAAGAGAGGAGGGAAGGGGTGGGGCGGGAGGTAGGACGAGGGCAAGTGCAGGAAGGAGCAGTGAGGGACGGCCAAAAATGCAAATGCAGTGAGGTAGAGGAGCAAATGCAGGAGCAGGAGCAGGAGCAGACCGGGCTAGCAGATGGAGCAGATGAAAAAGAGATGAAGGAAGAACGATGTGTCTGCCAGATGTTGAAGAAGAAAGACGAAAGCAGCAAGAGGAGGCACCTGGTGGCGCCAATGATGAAGAAGTACGGCAGGCAGTGCACCTCGGGCCCTGCTCCCTGCTTGCCCGCACTCCCCCCCGCCGCACTGCCTGCCTGCACGCGCCAGCAAGGGTTCCTCATGCTGCTGTCCATGCCCCCCCGTGGCAGCATCTTGAACTCCTCCCAACACATCAACGTGTCCCGCGCCCCTGCCCCCTCCCCCTCACCTGGTGGCGCCAATGATGAAGAAGTACGGCAGGCAGTGCACCTCGGGACCTGCTCCCTCCTTCCCCGCACCCCCTGCCGGCACGCGCCAGCAGGGGTTCCGCATGCTGCTGTCCATGCCCTGCCGTGGCAGCATCTTGAACTCCTCCCCGAACTTCAACCACATGTCCCGCGCCACCGCCCCCTCCTCCGCGGTTGACGCCCCTCCCCCAACTCTCTCCCCCCACTTCTCCCCCGCACCACTGTCTCCCGCTCCTGCTGCGGCACTCGCCACCGCATTCCCTCCCCCAGCCCTCACCATAGCCGCTACCGCCCCCCCTGCTGCACCCACCGCTGCACCCACCGCAGCACCCAACCCTGCTCCCACACCTCCACCAGCACCACCAGGCACAGGAACAGCAACAGCAACCGCAGCAGCAGGAGCAGAAGCATCAGGATCAGGCAGCGTAGCAGGCGACACGTGCTCCTCATTGAGAACGCGCGTGTCGTCAAACTCCTGGGCCTCCAGCGCGGATTCGGCTTCAGAGCCCTGCAGCGCGCGGCACAGCACCAGGCCCTGCTGCGACCCCGCCACCACGAGCAGCACCTCCAGCTGCTCCAGCCCGTGCACTGGCGCTGGCGTGCCGTCTTGGGAAGGCGCCGGGCGGCCTAGTTGCCCATGCTGGTTGTCGCCCCTGCAGGGAGGGAAAACAGTTGGTGAGGTTGGGAGGGAGGGAGGGAGGGGGGGGGGGGGGGAGGGAGGGAGGGAGGGAGGAGGGAGGGAGGAGGGAGGGAGGGAGGGGGGGAGGGGAGGGAGGGAGGGGAGGGAGGGAGGGAGGAGGGAGGGAGGAGGGAGGGAGGGAGCGGGGGAGGGAGGGAGGGAGGAGGGAGGGAGGGCGTGAGGAGGGAGGAGGGAGGGAGGGAGGGAGGGAGGGAGGGAGGGAGGGAGGGAGGGAGGGAGGGAGGGAGGGAGGGAGGGAGGGAGGGAGGGAGGGAGGGAGGGAGGGAGGGAGGGAGGGAGGGAGGGAGGGAGGGAGGGAGGGAGGGAGGGAGGGGGGAGAGGGAGGGAGGAGGGAGGGAGGGAGGGAGGAGGGAGGGAGAGAGGGAGGGAGGGAGGGAGGGAGGGAGGGAGGGAGGAGGAGGGAGGGAGGGAGGGAGGAGGGAGGGAGGGAGGGCGGGAGGGAGGGAGGGAGGGGGGAGGGAGGGAGGGAGGGAGGGCGGAGGGGGGGGGAGGGAGGGGGGGGGGGGGGGGGAGGGAGGGAGGGAGGGAGGGAGGAGGGAGGGAGGGAGGAGGGAGGGGGAGGGAGGGAGGGAGGAGGGAGGGAGGGAGGGAGGGAGGGAGGGAGGGAGGGAGGGGGGGGGGGGGGGGAGGGAGGGAGGGAGGGAGGGAGGGAGGGAGGGAGGGAGGGAGGGAGGGAGGGAGGGAGGGAGGGAGGGAGGGAGGGAGGGAGGGAGGGAGGGAGGGAGGAGGGAGGGAGGGAGGGAGGGAGGGAGGGAGGGAGGGGGGGAGGGAGGGAGGGGGGGGAGGGGGGGAGGAGGGAGGGAGGGAGGGAGGGAGGGAGGGGGGGGAAGAGAGGAGGAGATGCGAGGGTATGTTAACAACCACTACCATCTGCCCCTTCTGGTTGTTGCCCCTGTACGGACCTAAGGGGAGAGAGGGGAGGTTGAGTGAGAGGGTTGAGAGTGCTGTGTGGGGGGAGGGAGAGAAACGAAAATGTTCAAGCATGTTATTGGCCAACAACCAATAGACACATTCCCAGGTGCTCTAGGAGGTGCTCTAGGAGGTGCTCTAGGAGGTGCTCTAGGAGGTGCTCTAGGAGGTGCTCTAGGAGGTGCTCTAGGAGGTGCTCTAGGAGGTGCTCTAGGAGGTGCTCTAGGAGGTGCTCTAGGAAGTGCTCTAGGAGGTGCTCTAGGAGGTGCTCTAGGAGGTGCTCCGGGCCACAACTGCGCAACTCACCACGAGTACACCACGCCATGGCTCAGCCTCGCCACAGCAAACCCCTCCCAGCCGACCACCTGCTCCACTGTCTGCCGATCTCCAACAAAAAACTCCCCTCCCTCCCGCCGCCCCTCCCCCCCGCCCCTCCCCTAATCCGCTCCCCAACAACCCCCGGCTTATTCGCGGGCACCTGCCCCTGTCCCTCCCCCCAAGCGCGCCCCCAGCAGCGGCCCTCCCCCTGCCTCGCCCCATGACACGGCCTTATAATCCGCCGTCACTGCAAACGTCGTGTGGTGCGCCGCTGCCACTGACTGCACCTCCGGCCCCGCCGCCCTCCCCTCCTCCCCCCACCAGAATGTGAGCCCAGATGCGGGGGCACGCGCACAGCAGCAGGCCGGTCCAGAGAGGCACCCCGGCGCCACTCCCAGCCACGACCTGTGCTGCTCAGGGTCGATCCTTATCCCCTGAGGAGTAAACCCAGTGTGGCACACGAGTACAATCCCCGAGCCTGTGAGCGCCACCCAGTGGTCCGTGCCCACATCCACCTCAACTACCTGCTCCCCTTCCACCCCAGCCTCCACCATCCTTGGCTGCGCCGCTGCTAGGGCCGCGCTCCGCAGCCGCTGCCGCCACGCCTCCCTCTCACTGCTGCTACCACCGCCGCCGCTGCTGCTGCCACTACTCCCGGTCGTGCCTGCGGGTGCTCTTTGTCCGGGAACTCGTCAGCAGCGGCATCGGCGCGTCCTCGTCGAAGCCGGAGTCGTGCTCGTGGCGCCAGGGCGCGTCGCCCGTGTGTAGAGGTTGGCGCCCCAGGTGAAGAGGCGGCCGTGCTGCGAGATGGCGAGTGTGAAGTACCGCCCTGCCACTATCGCCAGCACTCGCTCGCGCGCCAGTAGCCCCCCACCAGCCCAGGCCGAAAGCCGTCCTCCTGGGAGGGGTGGGATTCGGGGATGGGATGTGGGTATGGGATAGGATGGGGTGGGGGTGGATGTGGGAAAGAAGGCACGGGATGGGACCCGGCGGGCAGTGAGAGGGAAGGGAGGGGATGAGATGGAATGTGGGGGAGGGAAGGGAAGGGATGGGACGGGATGGGCTACGGCCGAGGAAGAGGTGCGAGGGGAGGGAGAAAGATGAGGAGATACTAGAGCGCAATACTGTGATTCGTTTCCATCTGGAGGAAGAGGTGAGTGTGTGCTTGCGTGCACGGAACCCAGCGAGCTGTTGTGCGCATGGCGAGGTGTGCAAGAGGTGCCTGGGAAGGCAAAGAGGATAGGAAAAGGTTCGAGCGTTCAGAAAAGGGTGAGAGAGAGTGGAAAGGGGGGGCGGAACAGTGGGGGGGATGCACAGTATGGTGTGCCAAGAGAAGCGCCAAAGCAAGGGGACACGAAGGGACTGCAGCGCCTTACAGCAAGCGCCAAAACCCACCCACACAACCCCTCCCCAAACCCACCCCACACCAATCCCCACCCAAACCTCCCGCTCGCGTCCCTCTCCACCACCTCCTCACCCTCCACACCCTCCTCAAACCCTCCTCCCCCTCCCTCCTTCCCCACCTCTCCCCCCAACCCCAGACCCCTCAGCCCTCCTCACCTTGTTCTTGGTTGGTCGGCCCAGCTGCCCCCTGTTGTTGAGCCCCCACGTGAACACTCTCCCGCTCTCCATCACAGCACGGAGAGTGATACTGCCCAGTCGCCACCGCCACCACCTGCCCCTCCCCCGTTAACCCTTCCACAGGCGCAGGCCGCCAAAACGCGCCGTCCGCGCGCCCCAGCAGCCCCACGGGGCGCCTGCGCGCGTCCCAGTCGCGCCCCACGACAGCACACGCCCCCGGAGTCACTGCCAGGGTGTGCCCGCTCGCCGCCACCGTCGACCCCCCACGCGCCGCAGCACGCCCCCACGCGCATCGCCAGCGCGAACTCGTCCGCGGACACCGCTCCCCCGCCGCCCCCGCGCCCGCGCCCGCGGGAAGTAACCCTCCCCCGGCCCCCCGCTTCCGCCGTGCGCGGCGGGCTGCTTCCACGCCATGCGGTACGCGAGCGCGGGCCCCGTCCAGCCGTACAGGTACCCCGCCTCGCTGCCGTCCCGCACGCGCCACGGCGGCTGCGCGAAACACGCGCTCCGCGCGCAGCCGAGGTCGGGGGCGGGGTCGGGGGGGCGGAGAGCGACACGTAGGAGGGACCCGCGGAGAAGGCGGGGGGAACGGCGGAAGGAAAGACGGGTGGGGACATACGTTGGGGGAGGGGGGTAGCGGGGGGAGGGGGATTGGAACGGGAATGGAGGAGAGGTGTTGGTAATCTGGGAAAGGGGGAGTCACAGTCCACATCATGGAAGCCCGATGCAAATTGAAGCACCCGGGAACAGAACACAGAGCCTTCCAGGCCCCCGCAAAAGCACAGAAAAACCCTTTTCTCACGAAATTGATATGAAAACCCCCCCAGCTAAGGAAAAGAAATAAAACGACCCTCGACCTCACCCTCACCCTCCTTCCCCCCCCCCCCCCCCCCCTCCCCCTCCCCCTCCCCCTCCCCCTTCCCCCTCGACCTCCCCCGCCCCTGTCCCCGTCCCTACCATCCCAGATGGCGGAGCCACCGCCCGATGCCAGCGCGATGATCAGCAGCACCACCACGCAGCACACCGCCACGCTCCCGCGCCGCTTATCCGCGCCGCCCGTCGCATCGCCCCCGGCATGCTCAGCCGAAAGGCCCCGAATCCCCCGCCGCCGCCGCCGCCGGTCATGCTGTGTCCGGGCGATCGGAGCGGGCCCGCTGCGGGGGCGGCCGACGACGACGACGACGAAGGCACGCGACGGTACGGCGACGCATTCGCGAATCCGCGTAACCAGGAGAAGAGCGAGGCGGCGGAGGACGAGGCGCTCGAGGGGACGGACGCGCGGAACGTCGAGTTGAGGGTCAACAGCCCGCGGTGCCTGCCGCCGCCAGGCGCGCCGCTGCCGCCGGGCTGGCGCCGCGTGGTTGACGTGAACATGGCGCGCGGGAAGAGGATGAGTGGGCGGATGGCGCGGGTAAGTGGATGCTGGAAAGATGGGGTGGAATGGGGGGGAGATGGGCGGGAGTGGGATGCGGCTCTGGTGACTGCAGAAGCGGCGGCTAGTGATGAACGATCTAAGGAAAATACGAGGTTTTGATTCTAAATCGGGGATGGCGGAGCAAAAAGTTGCGTTGAATCCTTCAGAGGCACCGCCGATAGGCTGCTTGCACGGACACACTTCCGATCACTCTGACAGACCGGACGGGCGATACCGTCTGCCTACACTCTGGCAACGCCGAATCTAAGGCGCACGACCTTCCGCATGCGTTCGCCGCGTTCGTAAACACGAACGTTTAGCTCCTACGCGAAACCATAGCAGCTGCCAGCCGTCTCCCTAAGTGTGTTCCTACACTGGAAGGGGAAACCTCTCAGCGGTTAGCGGAGAGTGGAAGAAGTAGATTCAAATCGGATCACCGACCGGCTCGGATGGAACTCCTGCAGGCTAGATCTTACCGCGGAATCGCGTATTCGTTGTGAGCAGGTCCATTTAAATGTAGGTATGGATACTTTCTGAGTTACAAAAGAGTTACAAATCGAAGCACTAAAGCAAATGACTTCAGTCTCAGTATACGGATATGCAGATTCCAAGTAGGCGCAACTGCTGTTACTACTATAACTGGTGAAATAAATCATGGGCTGGATCACATCTGATAGATGGGAAGGGTTATACATGCATTTTGAATATTTCGCGTTTTACTAATCGTGAATTTGTTGACAAATGTGATAAATTCGCCCCTGTTTGTATCGACTTGTGTTGGTTAGGAGCTTCCGATGAGAAATATGCTATTCCTGTTTGAATGGTCGCATCGCAGTCTCAGCTGTCGAAGCGAGGGCAGACTCTGCATGACTTCGTCGGGCTCTTCAGCTGGTTATTACTTGGCTTCTCCAGTCAGCAAAGCTGGCCCATCGTAGATGCACTCACAGCTTAGCCACGCCGGTCAATACATCCTGACTTGGCGTCACGCCATCAATGCTACTCTCCTCGCTCGCAAACAGTGCTCCCTTACGACATCAGTGGCAGTTTCGTCGCCTCGCCATCCCCGCAACTCTGGCGCAGCGGGGGTTGTTTGTGCATTGTAGGGTTCTGTCTGTAGCAGGTCGCGTGGGGCCACGTCAACATGGTTACAAGAGTGTATGGAGCTCCCTACGTCTACTCGCCACGTCACCGTCAGCAACCTTATCCTCTCCTCACCTCTAGTACTACGTGTGGAGAAATATGGAGAACCGAAGCAGCGCACAACTTCGACGCAGGACCTACTCGCGCGGGAGGGGGTGAGGCGTTCCCCAAAACCAGCGGCTCGAAGTCAATACCCTCTCAGTGGCCCAATCATGGGAATGGGATCATATCGTTGCACTAAACCAGCCTCAGATCGCGGCGCCCACTCCGCAGATTCGCCGCTCCGCATGCGCCACGCCCGCCGCCCGCCCGCTCGCCGTTCCGAGCTCTTTTTCTCCTGACCTCCCCTCCCCCTTGGTCTATTATGTTTCCGCGGCTGCTCTCCTCTCCAGGCCGCCGCCGCATCATCGCTGCGCCAGCAAAGCCATCGTGGCGTGGCGTATCATGAGCGGCTCTATACAAACAACCCCCCTTTTCCGAACGCATTCTTTCTCACCCTCTCCTCGTCCCAACTCCGTTTCACCACGCGCACTCTGCTCTGCTCTCGACGTTCTATAGTACTATCGCTACCGCTAGCTGGAGTCGTTGTCGCTAACTGCCACTGTTAAAGCAGCAAACATCCCAGTATCGCCGTAGCGGGTCTTTAGAGTCGCCTATTTCTGGCCAAACCAACCAGCCAAACCAAGCCGCACGAACGACGCCCGCGCACCGCCGCAGCTGCCGTGCCGCCACTGCCAAAGTCGGCTCCACCCTCCGTCCGCCACTGCCGCAATGAAGCACCCGCCACGAGCAGCAGCAGCAGAAAAGCAGCAGCAGCATCACGGATACGCCGGAGGGTTCCGGCCTGCCGTCGCCGTGATAGCGGCGCTCTGGCTTGTTGTTTTCAACGCGTTGCCGTCGTGCCACGCGCAAGTGGTGGTGGGCAGTGGCAGCACCCCGCCAGGCACACTGATCAATGCCAGTCAAGGTAATATAATACTAGTACTACTACCTACCCTACTAATTGGCCGCCCGCCCTCACTATGCAGCTGATATCAAGTACTAGCCTTGCTGATACCTCGAAAGTGATTGTGAATTGGATGAGGAAAAGAGGTTCTAGTGGTAGTTACTATCTCCCTCCCTCCCTCCCTCCCTACTTTATGGGTTTTGAGGCGCCTCAAAAGTCGTCGTCTCTGCCTCTCCTCTCCTCTCCTCTCCTCGCCCCGTCGCGGCAGCCGTGTTTCTCAACGAGAGCCAGGTGGAATGGGCGAAGACGCTGCAGGGGTGGACGGCGGGCGGCAAATGCAGCAGCGCGGAGGGGATCACATGTGACGCGACTGGGATGATCTCCTCCATGTGAGCTCACGCCCGCGTGCATGCATGGTGTTTGAGGCGTCTCAAAACCCAAATCTTATCACGTGGGTTATCAACTGCAGCAGCGCGGAGGGGATCAACTGCGACACAATTGGCATGATGTCCTCCCTGTGAGTGAGTGCACGCCTGCGCGTTTGGCACTGGCGGCACTGCGTGCGTGCGAGCGTGCGTGGCAACTTCGTTCGGTGGTATGGGTGCCCGTTGAGTTGAGTCCAGGCCTGTCGAAGTTTCTGGGGCTCGTACTTGCGCTCCCCAGCTCCTCCCCATCTGACCCTTGGTTGGGTGTAGGTGAGCGTTTTGGCGCCCTTAACGGGCACGGGCGCACCCCAAAGTGAAAACTTGAAATCCGGGCATGTGCGAAGTTTGCACTTACACTGTATTTGGTTAAGTGAGGGAGTTGCTACGCCAGAGTGCTTCAGTTCCTTTGACGTGCTTTGGTTTAGTGTGTTGGAGTCCTTTGTGTCACTTAGCCAAATTCAGCAAACCTAATCCTATTTGTCACAGCTGTAAACTGCGACCAGCTCGTATTTACGCTAAGGGAATGTTCGGGTGCTCCAAGGCTGACTGAGACACACTACACACACGAGATTGGCTAGAAAGCGCTCTTGTGCAGACTAAGGAGAAAGAGGGGGGGGGGTTGTCTCTGGCACCCTGGGGGGTGGGGGGGTCCTACGATCAGAAACCAAAACTTAGATAAAGGGGAAGGCCTGGTTTCGTCCCTTAACGCATCCGGGGAAGGGTCGAACGAAGCACTTAGTGGCACGGGTGGGGTGCGAATCTAAAACTTGACGCATTGGAGCTGGAGCGAAACTAGCCCTTAATGTCAGGGCATTAAGGGCATATGCCCGTCAATCGTCAGGCCTGGTTGAGTCACACACGAACGCATTAAGTTCTCCGGTTGATTTCCACTTTGCTACCTGCTGGGTACTTGCGCCGCTTCCGCGCTGCTCCAGGTGTTGACCCTTGCGCGTGTCCCTCCCTCCCTCCCTCCCTGCTGAAGCCTGTATCCCGGTGCTGTACTCTCATCTCATAATCAGCCAGCCAAACCTTGCTTCGGTGCTGAGCCGATCACGCAGCAACCCTTTCTACTACCCCACCCCACCCCACCCCACCCCACCCCACGCCACCCCACGCCACCCCACGCCACCCCACCCCACCCCACGCCACCCCACCCCACCCCACGCCACCCCACGCCACCCCACCCCACCCCACGCCACCCCACCCCACCCCACGCCACCCCACGCCACCCCACGCCACCCCACCCCACCCCACGCCACCCCACGCCACCCCACGCCACCCCACGCCACCCCACCCCACCCCACGCCACCCCACGTCACCCCACCCCACCCCACCCCACCCCACCCCACCCCACCCCACCCCACCCCACCCCACCCCACCCCACCCCACCCCACCCCACCCCACCCCACCCCACCCCACCCCACCCCACCCCACCCCACCCCACCCCACGCCACCCCACGCCACTCCACGCCACCCCACGCCACCCCACCCCACCCCACACCACCCCACGCCACACCACGGCCATCCACAGGGATGTGAATAACAGCGCTTTGGCGGGCTCCATCCCCAACAGCATCTCCCTGCTCACTGCTCTCAAGTCCCTGTGAGCTTGCACCGCACCACCAGATCATCATCATAAGGCGTGCCACGCCATGCGCCACGTCATGCGACATGCGGCATGCCATGTGGCAT